CTAACTAATGCAAAGGAAAATGTTCAACAACAACAAAAAAAACATTACAGTAGTATAGATTAATCCTGATTAGACAGTACTTAACTCTAGTAAATATCCAGGTTATATTTTGTAGATCAGTCCTAAATACACTGCATATGTGGCAAATATACATGTCATATCCAACATATGGTCTTTATATAACGTGGTTAATATATGAAGGTTGTATATTCGTTTTAATACTGCAAAAGCCTATTGCTTCATAACGTAATGGAAAGGTATTTGATTTTAAGTAATTGCCAACACAATTCTGAATAACTATACTGGAATGTTACTGATAATATAAATGATTCAAAAATAGCTGTAAAGTGTTTGCTTGTTATTGAATTTTATGCAAAGCTACTCCAGGACTCTCTGAAGGCTAATTTAGCAGTGATAGACTTGAGTGAAGTTAGCATCAACCACCATCAACACTAGGGCTATCTGGAGATTAATTTAGCATTGATAGACTTGAGTGAAGTTAGCACCAACCACCATCAACACTAGGGCTATCTGGAGATTAATTTAGCAGTGATAGACTTGAGTGAAGTTAGCACCACCCACCATCAACACTAGGGCTATCTGGAGGATTAATTTAGCATTGATAGACTTGAGTGAAGTTAGCACCACCCACCATCAACACTAGGGCTATCTGGAGGTTAATTTAGCACTGATAGATTAGAGTGAAGTTAGCACCACCCACCACCAACTCCAGAGCTATCTGGAGGCTAATTTAGCAGTGATAGACTAGAGTGAAGTCAGCACCACCAACCATCAACTCCAGGGCTATCTGGAGGCTAATTTAACAGTGATAGACTAGAGTGAAGTTAGCAACACCTACCATCAACTCCAGGGCTATCTGGAGGCTAATTTAGCAGTGATAGACTAGAGTGAAGTCAGCACCACCAACCATCAACTCTTGGGCTACTCTTTTACCAACAGTTAGTAGGATTGATCTTCAAGTTATAATGTACCCAGGGATGAAAAGGTGAGCATGCTTGGTGAAAAGGTGTCAAACCTGTGACCTACAGATTGTGGCTACAAAAGGAAATATCCAGCTACAAATATAGAATATATATTTTTACACTACTAAAAAATATATACTTAAACCAAAGTTACTAAATTTAATACTAACAATCAGAAATATTTTGTCATTGTGTATAAAAGCACATGAAAGTATTACTTTTATAGCAATTAGTCATTCAAAATATTAACTACACCTTAATTAAAAAGCAGTACTGAAAAGTTGTTTGATTAGGGTTCATTATATACATTTCCAGATCTAGAAGAAAATGTATATTTTTCAATACCTCTTGACACATGATAATTATGTGAAATAAATAAAACATCACAATTCAACCAACTTATTTACATTATTCATGAATTTGATAAAAAAGGTTTAGGAAAACAAATGCTCTCACACAAAAAAGTTAAATTAAGATGAATCTCTCATCAGTAGCTAACAAGTTAGAATTAATTATTTTATTACTGAAATATGGTTTTGAGTTTCAAAGTTTAACAGTTCAAATTAATCATTAGTTCATTAATAGAGCTTATGCAAGTTTGAACCCTTTCCTGTTTCAGATCTCTAAAATGGGGTCTCACTGATTCCAAGGGGTAAAACAGTAACCTGTACAAGTTGGTACGAGTTCCTTACATAGGCAAAGGAAAACAGAGAACCGAAGTGAATATGTAAAACTATTGTTATTCACAGTAGTGTGATATTTTATCTGTTGCCCAGTTTCTGTGTTTGTTTGAAGTCAGACTGGTTGCTGGAGTAGAAGTAGTATACCATACTTTTTAGTCAGACTAGGATTCTAGTTCAGTTTCCCACAACCTTCATATTGCATACATCAGTTACTGTTCCAGGTAACGTGAATGAAAAATCACGATGTTTGACTGGAATGTGTTTGGACAAACTGATAAATGTAAATTTGCATATAATAACAATAAATAGCATTATTCTTTAGTTTTGACTTTCTTGGTGCCTCAAATCTGAACTATTACTACTTCTGTGGTATTCAAATATAATGATATTCATCAAGTAGTTACAATTATCCACACAATGAAAGATCCAAAAATATCATGCCAAGTATTATAATTAACTTGGATGAAAACCCAAGCAGATGAAGAAATACCAATAATAAACGAACCTCAAATGTTCAAATTAGCTACAAAACAAGTTTTTTAAAAGACAAAAAGATTTATTTCTGTCAAATTAGTAATATTTTTGTTTGTGAATTCATTTTAAGGATAAAACAGATTTAAACCTAGAATAAAAAACAAGTGAACGGTCCATATATAATTTCTATTTATCTTCTTTCTCACGAGATTTTAAATGATGCGAATCCCTTACCACGTCTTAGATGAATACTATCAATTACACACAATATTTATCACCAAATTTAAAGTATTAGTTTCACCATAGTCACGCACTGCTCAACAGCCGACTTCACTTTTACAATAATAAAAATAGTATGTTCTTTGTACAAAGTTTTAAGTGAATAAAATATAATGTCATTTTTTTTATGTATGCAAATAATATGTATTTTAAAACAAAACTTAATTTTTCAAGTATGGTAATCCAAATATAAGACTGACAAGTGTCTCTATACTACAACTTTTTTACAAGCTGCACAAAGTAGATTTATTTTTTTCCCAATTTGAAAATATCATCAAAGGTTTTGTTTACAATATAATCAACTAGCAATGGAAATAACGTACTGAAACCTTCATAAAATTTATAGAAATCTTAATAAATCCTTATGTCAAACTAATTAAATGTTTGATTTGCAATGATACGCAATAACAGTACCTATAAAGTGACCATGGATGCTATAAACAAAATAATTAAATCAGGTTTCTTTGTTTCCTGAAAGGAAACGAGTAATAATAACTTTAATTAAAAACTTAAGATATCATGTAGGTTTCAACATAGAGCAAACCTTACAGCTGGGACTTAAGTTAGCTAGGACTAGCCGAATGATGATAAATTCCAGAAAGTACATTTATCAACAAACTTTGACACAAACAAGACCCAGTGGTTTAAGAAGTTAACACACTCTATGTGTTTAACTCTAAAATAAAGTGCAGAATAAATATGAGACAAAGAAATTATTGTTAGAAATATTTGAAAAAAATTAATGAAAAAAAAAAGAGGTCTTGTGCTACATTCACATAAATTAGGCTACTGATACATACGCCATCTGAAGGCAACTTACAGGTTTAACAGAATCTTCCAAATTTGGTCATTACCACATGAAATATTGTTTCAAAATAAAAAATAAATTTGTATTAGATGTCTTGAAATAGTATATTAAAAAAGACTTGTTCCTGTGCAAATTTGCTTACTACAGTTGAAAAAAAAGAAGAAAAGCTTGTAATTATTTGGAGAGTACTGAAAATCACAATATAAAAAGAGACAGAAAAAAATTTAAGAACACACATACACATGTGTCGATATGCATATCGTTATACAAAAGCTGTGCACCACAATGACATGTCTTGGTTCTGCCTCTGCAGATAATCGAAAGTTACAACAGGATCACTTGCACAATTCTTGCAAGACAACTAATTGTGTAAATAAAAAAAATTTGGAGTAGTTACTGAAACACAAAAACGACTTAGAAAAAGCCATAGTAGTACATGACTTTTGCATAACTTACAGATTTATGATGAAATATTTCTATATACAAGAAAAAGGGCTTGGAGACCATTGAAATTAGATTATAACATTAAGTACATTCTATTATTAACTGACCTAATAAAATACACAATAAAAATTATTTTATAATCTCAAGTTCTCAACCTAAAAAAAAACAACAATGATGGAACTACTGAAGAATGGTAACTGTTTATACTTAAAATCAAAAGTACTGATTTATCAAAGACACAAGATAATGAACAAATTCAGAATGTATTTTTTTTTATTTGTTTGTAACCCCTTAGATATACCAGTATTCTATTTCCTAAGTGTAAACTGTTACAGTATTTTACTTTTTAATTGTGTTGTGTGGTTTTATTTTGTGATTTAATACGCTTCCAATTTCTTACAGATATCTTTTTTTCACTCAGATTTTCATGGGTAATGAATTTTTCTGATTCTGAAATTGTTCTGTCTGGAAATCCGAATGAAACACTTTACATTAGTTCAAAATTCAAATAAGTATTACTGAGCAAAGAAAAAAAACAAAGATACTAAAATAAAGACCACATGATGACAAAGCTTTATATATTACTCCTGCTTTTTATGTTTATTGATGAAATTTATGAGACAAAAGTGTGAAGTGCACTTTTGCTTGTTCCTTGTATTCAGTGGTAACTCGTTTCTTGAGTATTATCATCAAGTTTTACTATCTGTTGCTTGATGAGCTTCGTGGCATCTCCAGCGTTTGGAATCAAAAAACGGTCCATGGAGGTGACAGTGAAGTTTCCTGCACTGTCACTATATCCATACTTAAATGTGATCAGTTCTGGATGACGCCTCTTGCTTGTAATTTTCACAACGGAAAGAAGTGATCGTCGTGCAATTATTTTGGCAAATCCTTTCTTATAGGGCATTTCACGCAAGATGAACACGTGGGTTTTTGTCACTACCAGATGGCTGAAAGAAGTTGAATGAATGTTAAAAATGTACACAAGTCCAAAAGTTATATCATCATTTTTTAACATATGAGAACTAAAAATCAAATTAAAGAACACTATGAACTTCAAGACATGGCCAGCATAAAATAACATTAAGTTCATGAAAAAAAATCACAGAGCAATACTGCAAGTTTCTTATGACACTGTGGCCGAAATATTGTTTATACCAAGGGTTCCCATTTAAGGAAACAATGCATTCTAATATTTATAGCTATGAACATAAGAAAAGCATATTTAATTAGCTACATCCATCACTGGTTTATTTTTGTTTTTGATCTAAGTAAATAGTTTACTCTGATCAATTTAGTTTATATTAATTCCAATAACAAAGAGAACAAGCTTAATAATGTATCATTTGTATGATTTCTATAATAGTTCAATCCAAAACACATACTTCAGATAATATGTTAAAAAATAATATTCCATTCAGAAGCAGTAAGACAACACTTGAACGATACAGTTCTCATACATTGGATAGAACGAGATTTCCCGACCAAAATATGTTATTCCCTGATTATTTGATCTGTAATTATAATGTTTCATTACCTATATTAAAATGTGAAATTACAAAACATTATTCATGTATTTTTTAATAATTTGCTTAAATATCATCTTGCAATGTTTCATTAAGATTGGTCACACTGTTCTCAATTTATTAATACTCTATCAGAGCAAAGGCAGCTTTGTCTATTTGCACAAAAATAACACTTTTTAATTTTAATTTAAATCACAAAACTATTATTACAGCATAAAAGATACTATACATTTTAGCAATTGTGATTACTACCTTTAAACTTTTCATACACAAAAGGAACATGTATACTTCTCTAAAAATGGGACATTCTTTAACAAATACGCTTCTCGTAAATATGTATTAAAGTAATAATTTCTGATACTCGTATATGCTCTAAAATGTAAAGCTTTTATTTGCTACTGCAGTAAACTCATATTTCTGATATCTGTAAAACAGTTGTACATGCTAGTGAAATCATTCATTGATCTAGAGAACACTTATTATTTTTGCTGTGTATACCAAAAGTATCGAAACCTTTGAACTAAAGTGACCACAAACTTATAGATACATTACATCACCAAAAACATTTTCAGGTCACCAGATTATTTATCCTTACAAATAAGCAAGTTGTAAGTTCTAATTATACATACAGGAAACTTCGTACATATAACAATGTACAATCATATTTGTAGAGGCTACAGTAACCAGCACCTACACGAATGCTATTACGTGCAAATACGTACCTCACTGACAGTGATACTGCATAATTACATCACACCACTCAACTGATTCAAGTATCAGTTTGTAAGTTTTATTTTTGCATAATGCTGATTATTAAATTAAGTAAAAAACTGATACCACATAAAACTTTTACTCACTGTAGTTACACGAAAAAAAACAACTTTGGTGTGGGCCTTGGATTTATACACAATGAAAAACACTAACATATCACCCATACTGGCACAATACAATTAGTATCTTGATCTTAAGAGCATATTGTGATCTGAAAACCCATAGTTTCAAACCAACACTCAAACTACTGAACCAAGTCTGTCAAGCTGTGATGCCCATCTTTACTTTCTCTATTTATTCATCTTTTTTTATTGCTTGACAAACAGGAAGTTTTCCGAATATACTAGATGTACTTCCACAGGGTCCCTGAAAATGTTCTGTTTCAAGAGTAAATAAAACCAAAATTATGAGTAACAATTATTTTTACAACTAACTAAGAAATAACTAATATAATTATAAGCTTGTATTTTAGTATAAAAAAATATGAAATTTCGAGCAAACTAAAGATACACCCTATCTCCTGGAAATATTGGTTCAAAATGAAAGAAATGGCATCCAAAGAATTTAAAATGGCTGAAAAAGTCACTAGGGGGACATTCTAAGCTTTCGATTGGTTATTCATGTCATATACAGAAGTAACTGTATATAACAGAGCATTCCCAAAAATGGAAAGAGGTGGAAGGGTGCCACTGTGTTTGATTTATTACATGAGCAATATCTTAGCAAATAGAAAAGAAAATATCTTCTTGTTTTATATCCTACCTTGTCAACATCTGTAATTTGAGTTTCTAATTCGTACGAAACTACAGACTTAGTATTTTGACTTCACAAACATCGAATTTGAACCAGCGTTGCATTCAACATATCACATGACACACAAAAATTGATGTTTATCCGTTTGTTTTTTTATTTATTATAAAATTAACAAATTGAGTAATGTATAGTACTAAAATTTGAATTATAATCCACACTTTGATACCAAATTTATTGACATAAATTCATGAAATAGTAGTTCAATAAAATTTTGAATGCGAGTCAACAAACGAGATGACATGGCCTTTCATCCCTAATTCATCTTATCAATAAAAAAGATGCATATATTTATAGATATTATAATATTATTAAACTTTTTATCAAGCTTATTTCACTAGGAAATGTGGCAGTAAAGTACAATACAGTCAAACTAGAATTAACGGATTTAAACTACCTTGGGTACATATAGCCATTATCTTTAATTTCGTCACATTTAAATGTTTCAATGACATCGGGTTTCTTCAGCCAGGTCTGCAGTCCCACTTCCTCTTCTTGCTCCTCTTTTTCATCACTTCCGGGATAGTGCTCTGTGAAATAAATATGGGTAAGAGATTAGAGTGGAAAAAGATATATTTATTTTATAAGAATGCAAGTACTTGCTAAAAGACAACATCTACTTTGACAGAATATCATGAATAAAACATTTTACTGTCAGTCTTTTATGCTAGGTTTAATATATATATGGTAAACTACAGGATTGTTTGTATTTTTAAATCTTGCACAAAGCTTCTGAAGAGCTATCTGTGCTAGCCACCTCTAATTTCCCAGTTTGCCCCCTGAAGAAGAAAGGTCTATCTTTCGAAATTGCTCTGGTTATAGGGTTTTTATTCATTTCTAATTTAACAGAGATAGACTAGAAGGAAGGCAACTGATGAATGAGTCAAGTTTTATGATTTACATTTTTTAGATTGCTTGTCCTACATTTAACTGAAGATCAAATATTTCCTTGAATGAATTGCAACTGATGATGGAGTTGGTACTTACACAGTGGCCATGAAGATTTGGAGAAGAGAGTAAAATTAATTTGTAAATAAAACAGTTGTTATCCTTCTGGGTAAACTCTTGAAGGATTTTAGGTGAAAATAAAATTACCAGTGGAAAAATATTGTTTGAACAAACCTGCTGTTACTTTAATGTATTGTATTCAACCAATGAATTTTAAATAAGCATATTTAATACATAGAAAGTGAACATTTTAGGAGGTATCAGCAATAAATGTTCATACGGGTAACAGTGACAGGGTAAAAATTATCAAAATACACTGCTGACTTTTCTTTTCTGATACACAAAATAAAGTATTTTTCAAGTTTACAATGTAGACACAATACCATAACAATAGTAGTTTGATAAATA